CTCCCCCATCCACCTTTATTCTTTTCTTTACAATAAGGCTTTCAAATAAGTCATGGCTGTACGGCAGTGAAGCATTGGTGTTGAGCACTGATATCATGCTGTCGTTGATGATGATGATGATGATGGTTTAGTGTCGGCGTATCCGCAACGAGGTAATTAGAAGGCGAGTATTCGGTTGTGCAACGGTCACTTTCATTGAAGAATGTGTTTAGCACCAGAAGCTGTGTTGGTTGAGACATGTGTTGCGTATGCCGAACCATCGTTTGCCGAAATGACTACTGTTTTCCGTGCCCAAATCAGAGCGGCGGGAGCAGAGATGTTACTAAACGTTCGGGTGCTCTCGTTGCTACTCGCCTTTCAAGATGGGGCCGCGTGATACCCACTTCGCCTGGTTGGAGACATTACCAGATATGGCTGCCAACCGATGTCAGTGGCGTTCTTGTTAGTTTTTATCCAGATTGTCTGTGTGAATGTTTGGAGGTGTAGGCAACTCAGAATGCTTGCAGTAATCTAGCACTAAGTCCCTTCTCCGACCATTTTTATTCTTTTTACAATAAGGCTTTCAAATGAATCCTAGTTCTAAGGCAGTGAAGCATCGGTGTTGAACACTGATGTTATGCTGTCAATGATGATGGTGGCAGCCCACAGAGTCCAAGGCAGCTATGAAGTCAAGGAAGAAACCATTGTTGGGCGCTAGGAGAGTGACCCTGTTTCGGAATCTGTCGGGGATGAACATGTGACTGATGCGTCCTCTTACAGGACGGAAACCACCTTGTTTTTCTCGGATCTGTCTCCCACTGTGTTCAGTCAACCTTTGAAAAATAAGTCTAGAGAGCATTTTCGATGCCACAGTGGTTTGCACACCGCGTCCAAGTACCATTTTTGAAGGTAGGAATAACTGTCGACATGCCCCATTCTGCAGGCTCTTTTTGTTCACTCCATATCGCAATAATGAGCTATGGTAGATAAGTCGCCAGGGATTCTACTTTCATTGGAGAGGGCTGAATACAGATCTTCCGGTCGTGGTACCTCCTCACGTTTCAGTACCGATAATTCGTACTTGATTTCTTCCGACAAGCGATCAAGGTTTACATTCTGTTCGCCCGTGTGCGTTATCTCCACAGTCTGTGTTGCAGGAGACCAACTGAACTGTCCTTCGAAGTATTCGGCCCATCTTTCTAGTTGGCGTCTTTGCGAGTGAATTAATGAGCCTTCTTGTTCACTTATCATTTCACTGACCGTTGCTTTCCTGGGGCTGGTCGATCGTATCATTGATGCAGGCCTGTTGAAATGAACTGTCCGGTCGATGGAATCGAAAGCACTCTTGAAGTCAAGGAATACCAATATATATAATATATACATATACATGCATATATACATATATACATATATACAATATATATATATATATATATATATATACCAACAATATACCAATGTTGTGGCGTGCCTATTCGCACGCCATTGTTTCAACACTTGACGGAGTGCGAATATGTCCACACTCCGTGGTCGGAATTCTTGTTGTTATCGGGTCCCCTGTTCATGCGCCTCTGTAAAGTGACGTAAGATAAGTGACGCAAACAGCCTAGTTACAACGGTAATTCGAAAACTTGGATCAGCTGAGTGGTTCGAGAAACTTCATACTTCTCAAGCTTCTCATGGTCTTGGTCTTTCAAAGACTCGGTTCTGGGTTCGGACACCCCGGTTCTATCCCAAATATTCGACCGGTAACTTCTCTTGTTCGAGGTGCGCTGAGTGCCTGAGGATAATCAAGAAAAGCTCTGAAGATTCCATTACGTATGCTGATATCATCATTGTCAGCTGTAATAACCGCGTACTCGTCGTACAGTGGTTGTAGCTGCTGCAGTTTCGTTCACCGATGGTTTGGGGG